TGACCTTCTCCAAGACATAGGTCTTCAAAGCTGTAAGGTCAGACATAGTATTGGGAAGCAAGAAAGATTGTTTTTCCTCTAATTAGTGGAATGCCTTATTAGCCGCAAGTCATTGCTGGGCACAAAAGAGGACTGTGATAGAGACAGGTTTGCAAAGGGCAAGATGCAGAAGTTCAGACTKGAAATTCTCTGATCTCATTCTGGCCACAGTGTTGCTATTGCAAACAAGAAGGAAAATATGGACAAAGCAAGCGCAAGGCATGGTGCTACACTTGTTTAACCAGTAATTAATTGCATAAAATACCGTCTTTTCTCAGAGGTGTGGTAGTTGGTGGTCACTGAGCCAACCCAACAGCTGTTTAGCCCATGATCAGACAAGCACTTTCATTTAGGGCTAATTGCAGATGAAGGTTTTCCGTGGTAAGGACTTGCATTTTCAGCCTTAGAAACCACCCTGACTCCAGGAAAGCTGGTTATTGTAAATGTGAGCACTTTTGATGGATATATTGGACACATCAGAGGGAGGTATTTAATGTCTCAGAAGATCAAGTCCAATGAGTAAATGCTTCTCTCCCCTGCTAGGGTTGTTGCTGTATTTATGGCAATAGCAAAAAGGAGGGGTGGGAGAAAATAAAAAAAAAAGTTATTTCTATAAAAATTTCTGTTACTGGACAAGCTGTGTATTTCCAGGAAGGGAGACGCTTGTTTTTCTAATGGGCCATGAAGGAAATTGAAGAGAGGACCGGGTTCTAGTACTGTTAATTCAGGTTGTAGAAGAGTAGATTGATAAATGTCCAAGTCTCTCTGTATATTGAGATTGATTTGAACCTAAATGTATATGAGGAACATTTAGACACTGGATACCACGTTTGGAGATCTTGCTCCATGCTTTGGAATAAGACCTGGTCTTGAGAGCGCAGATCTGGCCCTAAAGGCAAAGACGCCTGAGCTACAAGTGCACAAATACAGCAATAATATAGCTCCCATAGGAGAGATCTAACTCATTCCAAAATTTAGTTTAACTCAAGGATCTCTTTAATCACAAGGGAAATAAATAAATATATATATATATATATATAGGTGAGAAGATGAAAATATAAAGTGAAATAGATGATGGTAATCAAGGGATGCAAAAGAAACAGGGAGTTTGAGTCTCTTCAAAGCTCAATAGAGAAAATAGAGAATACATGGAAAAAAAAAAAGAACCTTGACAGATGTGAGGACAGCAGTTAACAGAATATAAGGATTAACAAGTCTGATTTATGCAGAATTTTTGATGGCAAGAATAGAGGCCAAGGGTTAGAAAATGGGCTGCTGTGAAATGCTGGACATGCTCTATTGACTTTGTGCTTACAGCAGTTGAGAAACGCTCCGGTGAGTTTGAAATGCTAATTGGGCTGTCTCTCCAATTTTATTTTGTTTTTCCTCCTCCTTGCTCTTGCCAAACCCAACTCAGTGTGCATCAAGCAAATCTAGTGGAAATTTGAGTCTAGCTRATATTTATATGCCATTCTCTTGCTCGTATGTAGTTTGAGTTTGCTTCCTGTTAAAATGTCTTGCTTAAGGAACCATTCTTCATCCTTGAAGAAAGCTCGTTGAAGTTTTGTTTTTATTAACTTTGTTTTATTCTGAAATGAACAGTTTTAGCCTAGTTGAAGTCCAACTATTTTTCTTTTTTTTGAGTTCCTGAAAAAGATTCAAGAACCTTGAAAATCAATGTCTCGTGCTCATTGCTGCTCTTATTGCCACAGAGCCAAAATATTTAAATGCTCATAGGAGTTCAACCGTCTATGGAACAGAAACTTAACATCAAAGACAGAAGAATTAATGGGATTTTTTTTTTTTTTTTTAATTTTAGAGTGGAACTGTTCCTCTGTCTCTTCTCATGCATTTTATAAGCAAAAAATAAAGTGAAAAAGTTAATATATTAGCGTTTTATAACCATTGTCTTAGATTATAGCACTTGGATATCTATTTGTTTTTTGGCCTTGTGTTCTGATCAGCTTCACTATGGCCATCACTGCACTGCTGAGAGAGATGGTGCTCTCCTCCTACAAGTTTGGTATGGAAAAAATTCAGATTATATAGGAAATTRGGACACTAGATGCAGGTCCATATGAGCTGGGGAGCATGCTTATATGGAGTTAGGCAGTTCTCTTCCTTCAAGTACCTTAAGATCCCCAGCAGCCTGKTTAGCATGATGGATGCTCCAAATTTTGTAGCATTTGTAATGCATTGAAATAATCCTTTCTATTGATAAAATACATATTTGTGGTTTGCTGGTATATCACGGTTCTCAGTAGTAATTTCTCAGCTTTGTCTTTACTGCTTCTGCAAATGCCTTCCGTGTTATTCTCACACTGTTCTATCAACTATTGCATGAATATATTTACCATATTTTGCTAAAAACTTGCTCCAGGTGATGTTTTATAAASCCACCATATGTATAGAAGGGCAGTTTTTACCTGTAACTTGGCTGGGTTGAAATAAGAGTGATTGTATTTGTTGCATTAGAAGAAATAAGAGTGATTCTATGTGCGTGTGTCATGAGGGAACTTTGCACTCTCTGCCTACTTTACAGAGAGCTTTCAGTCCAAGTGGACAGAAATAATCCCATTAGATGGATGAAGGACACGGTTGAGCTGGTTTGCGTTAGGATGGGAAGACTGAAGGTGAAGAGTGAGAGTGCTGAGAGAAAATGGGAAAAGACATGTTGAATCAAGCAAAAAGAATTGTGGTGAGACAGAATTAACAGTGGGAGAGACGGGGAAAAGGAAAAGCATGAAAACATGGGCCATGGGAAGGGCATGGAGARAGATGGCAAAGAGGAGGCTGAATGTACAAATTGGACTTAGAAGGAAGGACTTGTGATTTGAGTGTTCATTGGAGATGACTATTTTGAATGAGAGTCCAGAAATATACACATATATAGTAGTAAAGGGTTGTGTAAATGAGGGAGAGCTTAAAGCTCTTCAAGGCTCAAGATTGGTTCCCCTCCCATATAAAGGTTTTATGGGAGCCTAGATGGGAAGACTGATGACAGGACTCAGATGAGTTTGTGCCTTTCACTGTTAAGTGGCTTGTGTGTGTGGACATACATATATAGAGAGGGAGGTTACCGGTAGGAGAGTTGCAATGATTTTTGTCCAAAACTTTCAATTGCTAGTGAGAATTATAGATTTTTTTGTGTGTGTACCTGCTGGGTGCCACTTGAAAGGACCTGGCCCCACCATCTTCTAAAATCAATCTCTCCCAAGGAAACTCGAAGTGGGTGTTCAAAAATGTGCATCCTCAATATCTGCTGCCCAGAGCATCCCACCTAAGAGCTAAAACGATGAGGTTGTGTCCACAGAGGTCCATGCTCACCTCCAGGCTTTTGTTCCTGGAATGTTTAGGAAAAAATACTGCCATTRTTAGCTGCACTGAAGCCTGAGAGGAATCAGGGCTACTCAAAAATTGGTCTTTCAAGTTCTGCTTCTCAGGTCCCTTTTCTAAGATTGGCCTGATGTTATTGAGTATTTGTTATTCTGCTAGAGAACTTCTATTTTTTCAGTCATTAATCTTGTGGAGCATCTAAAGAATATTATTTACTAGTGTTATCTTTGACAGCCTGAGTTTGTTTTTCAAGAATTTTGAGGACTGTGTAAGCATCCACACACTATGTGTTTATACATACATATATGTATTTTAGTTTATTATGCATATATATGCACACACAATATATGGTTATTTTCTATACATATATAGCCGTTTTTATAAATAACCTGCTAAATTTAACATTACTGTTAATTTTGATGTGTTTTCTGTATCCCATGCCATTTATTTTCCMTTAACATCACCGAAGCCCAGTGCTCCCAAAGCCAAGAGTTGTTTTCTTTTCAGATGCGTTAGATGATTTACAGAAACGTTTATGTGTTTATTATCCTGCTGGAGTCTGTAATCAGTCTTCAAGCAGCACCAGAAAGGTTGAGTGTAAAAGGAAAAACAAAATGCAGCTCAATAAAATCCCGTTGGGAGAAGAAAAAAAGCGGGGGGAGGAGGGTAAATAAAATGTCTAAAGCTTAGCTGAATTCTAGGATTCTGATTAATTCCTCTTTCTTAGCTCCAGATCTGTCCTTACTGCTGTTTATACATACTTGGGGATTAAAAGAGCTTTCTGGGGTTTTGTGCTTATTGTGTCTTCAAAAAACATGCAGGCCAAAACCTCATTCATTTTACCAGGGTAAGATTTTAGGTAGGAAGCTCCTCAAGCAAAACATGCTTGAAGGAAAAAAATTTTTTTTTTTTTTTTTTGGCTCCGTGCTGTAGGAAGAATTTGTATTTAGGGACATACTGGTTTTTCCTGGTTTTTATTTTGTTGGTGGTGTATACATGGATATTGGTTTTGATGCTGTAGTATAAGGGTCGGAGCTATTAGGGTGCATATTTTGATAAGATATAACTGAAATTTAGCTATGAATATTCCAGAAAATAACACCAAAAAAGAAAGACAGGCTGATACTTAATCTACCTCGATAACAGGACACGGGTGAAAATAATCTGCATCTGAATGCTGGAGAACAGAAAAATACCAAAAGAATGGGGAGAGAAAAAAAAAATAAAAGAGCTATTTTTATGGTAGATTTATTATTGTAATTTCAGTTCGTGTACTGTATTCTCTGGTGAAAATGCCAGTGTCAGGTTTACTTAGTATAAATGACTTTAGGTTGGGAGGACAATTCATTTGGGCAAAAGCTGACACTGGCAAAGTAACAAGAAAAATGGGCAAGCTGCAAAGGGATTAGTTTTAATTATTATATTCCTTGACACCGGGTGATTTTTTTTATTATTATTATTATTATTTTTTAAGTCATGTCCAACATCGCACTTGGAGGAAATTYATTCAGGGTTATGTTTTCACAAGCGTTATCTTGCCAAACTGTTAAACCAGAAGCTGAAGAGCAGCCTCTGCTTCTGCTTGTTCCTGCTAATTTTTCTTTTTTCTTTCTTTTTTTATATAGACACACTATGAAAGCGGAGAGTATATTATAAGACAAGGTGCTCGAGGGGATACCTTCTTCATAATCAGCAAAGGGAAGGTGAGTTGAACACCCTCTTTAAGGAAAATTCRATGACGATTATGGGCTATTGAAATCTGGTGACAGCCAACAGTGTCTCATGCCCCAGCCTAGAGTGTTGCAACTCTTGATGTTTAATTAAACTTACTGCAGCTCAATCAGTAAGGAAGAATGGCTCAAAGGGGAGAAGACCCCAAAAAGTAGATCTCATTCTGCTTTTGCACATGTTCTACCAAGCTCTGGGGCTTGAAGAAGAGAAGGCTGAAGGGCACCTGATCAGTGTATACTCCAAGGGAGGTTGGGAGGATGATGGRGCCGAACTCTTCTCGGTGGTGGCCACTGATAGAACTAGAGGAAATGGCCACAAACTGAAGCACCAAAAGTTCCGCAAGAACTAAAGGAAAAAATTCTTAACAGTGAGGGTGACAGAACGCTGAAATAGGCTGCCCAGAGGGGTGGTGGAGTCTCCTTCTCTGGAGATCTTCAAAACCCACTTGGATGCAGCCTGTGTCACCTGCTCTAGGTGACCCTGCRTGTGCAGGGGGTTTGAACTAGATCATGGAATCATAGAATCCTTATGGTTGGAAGGGACCTTTAGAGATCATCTAGTCCAACTAGTCCATCTAGTCTAGATGATCTCTAAAGGTCCCTTCCAACCATAAGGATTCTATGATTGGTAACYCTTATGATCCCTCTTGGTGCATGGCCAAAAAACCCCATGCTTTCTCTGTGGTTATAAAAACTGTGGATATTCTTCATTCGCTGAGAGAGGGCCACCTTATTACTGAGCKTGCTGCTTCTAAGCCTCGTTTCAAAGCACAGAGGCAAAAAGGACAAAAGGAAACTCCTGCTTGCCAAGTTCCCATCTCTCCCAGGTCAGGGCAACTCTACGCAAAGCAGACTTACTTAGTGGCATAAAGAAAGTCTCTTGACTTAATTCTTTTACCCTCTTTTTTAACCTCTTTTCCCGTAAAAGCCTGATGGGAATTTGTAGATCTTTTTTTTTTTTTTTTTTTTTCCCCCCTCCTCCCCTTTCATTTGAAATTCCTTTTTAGCTAATGCTATTACACTTGACAAAAATGTGGCATCTTTCCACCCCGTGGGACACAGATGCTGAAGGGAATACACATTGATATTATTATTTTTTTCTCTATGTATGAGCTGTGATATGTAAAAAGAAGTAAACACAAAAGGGATAAATGTGCTTGACAGTAGGCCAGTGGAGCTGACACTTGCGTTTGCACCAGGTCACGTATTAGTAGAGGGCTCATGTAATTAAGGATAACAAAAAGCTCCTGGCATTCATCAAGGAAGAGCAATTGCCAGACTGGGAATGGATATGAACGATTGCTACCCAAGGCTGTTGCCAAACTTCAGGTACTAAAACTAGCTGAAGGGTCTAAAACTGAAGGAGCTCCTAAGCATGATCCTTCTCTTTCATTTTCTGCTTTTCATCATTAAGTTTGGTGGCATTCTCTCATGCTCTTCTAGTTCTATCCACTCAGAAATGATGATGTCCTGTTCTCGCAGAGTAAGGACAACCATGACCCACACTTCAAAATGCTTCCTGGGGCAGACCTCTCTTAATGAGTGGTAGCCCCTCCTCTGTGCTTAAAAGGATGTTTGTGATCTGATTTCCAACTTTGTCCTTCCCACCGAATTGGCAATCAGTAGACAGAGATGCATTTGACTCACTTGGCGAGGTGAATTCCATCCCTTCCTAAAGTTCCCCCATTTCCAAAGATTTTTCTAAATCCAAATCCCTATTGTCAACACTACTGCACAACCAGTTGTTGATGCATATGATCCATCTAGTCCTCCTCAAGCCCCTACTTCCTCTCTGGCAGGAATGAGAAGAAAATCATATGGGTCCTCATGCCTTTGACCACGGCTCCAGAGTCCTGTAGTCATACTTGATAGATCCATACTTTGACAGATCCATTCATGGCATGATCTTATGGCAGCTGATGGCCAAAGGAAGATAGTTCAGTCTCTAGGAAATTTCCAGACCATTAGCTAGATCCTTACAACCAAAGAGAAATTGCCACAGGGACCAAGTTGAATCCTGCATAAGCTTCTCTTGCAGCCTTACTGATTTGCAAAAGGGGTGTCAGTGAATGATGAAGGATGGCAGGAAGGGGAGACTGCTTAGTTTAATGCCTGTATGGAGATGCATCAGCTACACAAGAACAACTCCATGATGAAGGTACAGCACAAGCACTGTGGCAGTGAATAAAAGCATCCATATACTCCATGCAGACTTTCTGAAGTAGTGTCACATACTGCTAAAACCTCACCTCGGTACCTTAATAAGACAGAAATGTTTCTAACTCCAGGTCGTGTATCTGAGAACTCATGTGTCCCTTCTGCATTCAGCAGCTTCATGTGAGCATTATTGTTTGGCAGTCTCAGGGAATCTGACTTTACAGTTCTCCTCTATTTATTATAGTCTAATTCCTCAAGTCCTAGTGAAGAGAAATCAGAGCCTTGTGCAAAATAACCTGTGTACAGAAATCCCTTGAATAAAACATGGGCTGCAAGCAGTTTGAGTCCCATCGCTTGCTCAATGCTGTGGCTTGGTGCCCGTCGAGCCTCTCCTCTTTACGTAGAGATGATATGTTGTGYTGTGTCATTATACGTTGTTTACTCTCTAAAAGTGGTGCTTGTCACCAGTTTCATCTGAGATCTTAGCTGGTGCCAAGGCTGTTAAAATGTGTCATTGTTTTGAGCCATGTCAAAATTATGCTCCCATAATCCCATCTCATTTGTTTTTTAGGCATAGCAGAGGTCACGGAGAAAGAGCTAAAAAATGTGTTGTTTTCATTGGTTTGTTCAAGGATTTTTTCTTTTCTTTTTCTTGCTATAGGCTACAAATCTTCCCGTCTCATCTGTTACGCATCCCCTTCCCTCATCTAAGCTTTGATGAGTCACTGCAGATGTTAAATCTGGTATATTGTAGACTGGATGCTCATTAATGACTCAAAGCTATTGTTTTTGCCATCCATGRCAGAGCACAGAGAAAGGTGCAATTGTAAATGTGATAGTAAATTTCAACCATAATGTGTCTAAACCAGAAATAACGTGTCTGCTGTCCCTAATTTTGGCTTTGCATTTTGCACATGAACAAGCTCTGATGAAAGCAAGTCAACAGCCTTAAAGGGAAGTAGAGTTAGAGAGTGGCCTTTGTACACAGAGATACCTCAAGAGGGTTGTTCTCTGCTTTTAGCCTTGAATGACTCACCTTTGGAAGTGTCTGTCCATCTCCACTGTCTGTAGAGGGAGCTTGGACAAGTAGATCTATAGGTGACATGTTAGGAGATAGGACACCCTGCACTAGTTGCAGGGGACCGTATTTCATCTGCCTTCTTGCGCTGCAGGATATACAAGTTGCCTCTGAGAAGAAACACTTTCCATATGAGGGCCATTCGGTCAACAAGACTCATCACTCTTGGAGGCTTTTGAGTCTTTAGTAGCTGTTGACGTGTGTCATGCCGCATCTCTGCAAACAGTCCCTAGCAGGGATTTTGTCATTACTTGGCTGATGGGCCTTACATCCCATATGGGATCTGGACAGATGCCCAAAGGTGAACGGGACCTGCTTTCTGAGATAGTAGATAAGTAATAGACTCTTCAGAAAGATCATGTGCTATTTTTCTGTGCTGTTTTCCTTCAAACATTCGTGTAAATTCTTGGATTTTGCTCCAGCTGTCATTATCTTTCCCCTGAATTCGGGAGAAGGACCACTAAAAGAGCAGGAGGCATCCTTAATCCTGTGATGTTCCAAAAAGCTTCATTTCAATTACGTAGAAATGTAGATTTTTTTTCCTTAAGTGATCTTAACAACACAAGAAATGACATGCAACTAAGCTACCAGAAGCCTCTGCCATGTGTCTCTTATACACAAAAAATACTTTCTCCTGTTAACTCCATATGGGCARTGACTGTGCTTGTACAGCCAGCTCCGTGCTGAGAGCTTAAAACATTCAAAAAGAAAAAGTGGAAATATAGCACTTCTTGCCAGAGTMATATGTATCTGAATGGAAAATAATTATTCATTTTCTTGAATGGTTTGAGATTGGCTTATCAAGATTTAGGAATTGGGGTATCAGGGGTATCCCAATGAGGAACTCAGCACATTTTCTAGGAGATCCAGGAGATGTCTTAATCCCCCTCTGAACCAGCAGAATTTATTAATTAATTGCAAGTTTTAAAAATGCTGTGGGGGATTTTTGGCTTTTCAACAGGTGAACGTTACTCGTGAGGACTCCCCCAGTGAAGATCCGGTCTTTCTCCGCACCCTAGGCAAAGGAGATTGGTTTGGAGAAAAAGCYCTTCAAGGGTAAGTGCTTCTTAAGATGTTGCTCTTTGGTCGAGATATTTTTGCCAGCGGCTGTCCAGGCTTTTGGGAGTGGGTTAGAATTGCCTTGCAAGTGGTTTGACCAGCTGCATTTTGTGCGTTGTCCCTTGGTGCTGCGATGACGTTGGGTCTTGAGGACCCAATAGGGATGGGGAGATATGATTTGTTTTGTGATCATSTGGCCAAATATAGATCCTTCCCTACCTGTTCATAGATGTAATAAAATAGCTTATYGTTGCGCTGTTTTCCCTGCCCATGATTTGAGGATCCAAAATGTTTAACTTTTTTCAACATAGGGTGACACGTAGGGTGAAGGTATGATCATGGTCTTCTATGTGAGGTAGACAGTTGAAGGTCGAATGGTGTAGGGTTTTGTGCGTGTCTGTGTGTGTATTTTTTTATTCTTTTTTATGGTGGTATTGTATCTCTGAGTTYGGGGAAGGGAGTAATTAAAAGTGAGTGACCTGTTTGGGTTTTTTTTCAGTCACTTTACTTAAAAGATGACTTTGGTGAAGGAATGGAATAGAAATTGTAAATCCCTTTTAATCAGATGATTATTATAAAAGCATACTTTACTTCCCTAGGGAACAGTAAGAACGGGAATAGCACAACATGCTTTAGGACACACTTTAGGAGTTTAGGGCACCCATTAACCTTGAAGGACGACCACTTGGTCCCATCCTGGGTACTTCTCTCTGCATAGGACCCCTGGGGCACTTCTTTGGTGCTTTGATAACACATTTAGGTGCTTGTAAATCGGTCTTCTTCCCAAAAGAAGATACTAAAACAGTTCTAACCCCAGTTTTGAGCTACGTTGGGCAGCCAGGGAGTACAGTACAACTGCGTAAGCACAGAAAACTCTTGAGTCTCACCTCTGAAAATCCAATATTCGTTTTATTAAACTAAATGCCCTTGTTTTGGTTACTTTTTTATTATGGCAGAAGTGAGATACATTTATTTTTTTTACCCCTACAAGCATATAAACTTGATGAATTATTAACACATGAATATCTGCTGGAACATCACTGCTCACCACTCATGGTAGACCTTCAGGATATTTCTCCTGTGTATGAAAAATACACTTATGACTGACAGTTTAAGATAAACTCAAGGAAACTCATAATCTATTTTATTTTTCATCTTGGAATATTTTTTCAAAGCTGTYTCAGGATTTGTTTAGCCATAGCTTTGCAAGCTACTATAAAAATATACTCAGGAGCAAATGTGTTAAAATAAAATTAAAAAATATAATATTGTTTTGCAATTTCTGATATGCAGGAGGCAGTAACAACTCCAAAACATTTTTTTTTTCTGACAACATAAAGTAATAGTTGCAGTTTTCATTCTGCATATTGCTGCACAGCAGGAAGACAGATCCCAACTATCTTGTGTTCTCTCATAGAAATATTTAAACTGACATGGAAATCCAGTGATGAAATACATCACTGAAATACATTTTTTTTTCTTTTTTTTTTTTTGCTTGCACCAGATGGCTCTCATTATTTCACAGTATCCTGTTTCACCCAGACAGGAACAAAACAAGTCATGAAATCATCAGGCATGTTATCTTATAGGAATACTAGGAGCTCCCATCACATGGTTCTCCTACCTTCCTGTCCAGTTGAATCRAGGATAGCATAGCAGATGTATAATATTGTTGTTGTTTTGCTGTGGTATTTCTTTAATTGAGAAAACAAATGTATAAAGCCATTTATGGTGATTATTTCTAGACGTGAAAAGGACAGAAGGGAAAAGGACAGGATTTCTAGAAGGGAAAAGGACAGAACTAAGTCGGCAAAGGAACACCAGGGAAATAACTCAATGCAACTTTGAGGCTAATRTGTATTTTAGTAAACCCAACTTGTAATTACACATTCTGTTGTGCTCTGAATTCAGTGTCTTTAATTCAGTTGCCACCAGAGGTAGCTAGTTTGATGTGACCAAGGCCTATATTGGTGGGGTCAGAGGGAAAAGAAACAGTTAAGTTGATGTTTAAATCCACATAGACGTTCATTTTGCTGTCAATTTTGGTGATTTTATTAAGCCAGAGGAAAGTGCTTTCACTTGATGGGAAGTGAGAACAGCAACATGAAAAACTGCTGGAGATTATTTGAGTTATTTTAAGGCATGCATGTTGAGAAAGCCATAAGGATGTGGAAAGCCTTCCTGCCACTTGTGTCTGCATTTGCCAAGGGCTGGCTCTCGGATGAGACCTCCTGGTGGCTACCATCATAGGCACCTCTCATTGGACTCTCTTAAAAGGGTATCCCCTGCTTGCTTTCTCATTTGGAAAGAGTAAAATGTGAGGGAGAGTTGTTTTTGTTAGTGGTGGTGGTTGTTGTTTTTAAGATATGCTAACAGAGTGAGGAAGTAAAGTGGGGTTTTGGGTTTTCCTTGGGTAGAAGCACAGATCTTGGGGTTCCTACGTCAACCTCTGAGAGTCAACAACTACTGATTTGTAATGTGTAGGGACTTGGTGTCCAGGGGCTTGGATATCCACACCACACCGTGAATGAGACATCTCCACATCATGCAGCAGTGTTTTGGCCTGTCTCCTTTTCTCCCTCTGTCCTGAAAGAGATTTCAAACTCTTCGAGGACACTCTTGTCGCTTGCTAAATGGGAATGCAGTAGGACTCTTGGCTGGTGTCTAGAGAAAAAAAGACCACAAAATAAAAAATAATGATCGAGATATTCATGCATCAGACAAACTGGGTTTGGTTTTTACTTTCAGGATTTTGGAGAGAAGGCTGAGTTGAGGAACTGGTGACATTTATAGTTTGAGCTCCAAATGACTTTGTTTTGTTGCCCTGAAGATCGTTTGGAAGTGTGTACGGTGGTGCCAGTGTCTTGCAGGAGCCACCCGGCACCTCCTACGTTCTGGAGAACTTACGCTGTTTCCCGCTTATATCTCCACCTCCGGAGGCTTCTGCTCAGTTAYGTTCCCAGCATACCAGAGACCATCTGTCCTTTAATTCCCCAACATCTCTTGGCTATGCTTCGCCTGCCTTAGGACCCCCAAAATCTTTGGTGTGTTTTCTGCACTGCTAATCTGCAATGATAAAGCAAGTTATACGCGGTAATGCCGGAAGAAAATGTATTTTCTGACTACTCAAAAAAATACTGATATTGTCTTTCCGCCCTCACTAAAAGCGGTGCAAGCGGCTGTGCTGAATTTTGTCTTCAGGGTTTTTGTGTGYGGAGGCGATGGTCTGCAAAAAGGARAGATGAGATAAGGGGGAAAAAAGCAGCTTTGAAAGTAAGAAATTAAATCCAAGATGCGGTTGRCGATGCCATTACTTTGTTCTTTTTTTCTAAATTAATGCAAAGACTAAATATAATCCCTAAAAAAAAAAAAAGTAAGAAGACTTGTAGCTGATGGCTATGACAACAGAGAGACGCCAGTAGGACATTAAAGTACTGGCAATGCTGTTGATTTAATTTSTTTTTACTGTTTTCTCTTGCTGGGGCCAGGGTTATGAATCCACTTCCAGAAAAAATGGTTTGTATTACATGGATATAAATCTGAGAGGAAATGCTGAGGTTCCAGTAACATATTCCTGGTCTCAGCCTTGTTTTAGCTCTCATGCCACTGCTGTGCAGCTGCAATGCTGGTCCTTCTAAACTGACCTTTACACTGCTTCGCTTCCCAAATGAGATAAGTTTTAATTTACTAAATGCACTGTTGCTTCTTTCAGCCCTCTTTACACCTGAGCAAAGCTATCTCAATGTCCTTGACTGATCACTGAATATAAGTGCAGCGTTTCATCTTAATTGGAACCTTGCTCACGATCTTCTTCCTTCTGCCAAAGTCCTAGCTGACCCATTAACTAGATGATCCTGAGTTTTCTCTGCAAGAGGAGAAAGGGATGGAGGCTTAGATATGTTTTGGGCCCCAGGAAATACCTTGGAGGCAAGAAGGAGGTGGTGGCGTGAGCAAATATTCATCTTGGAGGGCAATGTATGTGTTGTTTTCTAGTTGGCAAAGAGAAAGGACTGATGTTTCTGGGTTGTCCCAGCACGTGCTGAGCGATGCACTGATTGCTTGCCCAGATCTGCACAGCTCTACTCCCCGAGCCTTTGCTTTTGAGGGCTTAGGGCTAAAATCCTCACTAAATTATGGATTTAAGCTGCTGGAACTTGGCTGCCTGGGTAAAAGGCATTTGCGGGTTTCAGTCGCAGCCAATTGTGAGAATGACCCGTCATCTCCTGGGGATATTTGCTGATGAAACATAAATATTGCRAGAAGAAGCTGTGAGTCTGGATCATGATCAGAGCGGTCTCTCTAATTTGTAGCTACCTACCAAAAATGGTCTGCAATGTCCACAGGTTTTTAGGTATTTTCTTTGGCCAAAGCAATTTCCTCTGGTTCCCTGTGGTACTCCAAGGGGATCGGAAGGACCTGAGCATGGTGCACGCTCTTCTCAGTGCTAGCTGGTGCTGAAGGGCAGCACCCCAGATACAAACCCATCAACTGTTCACAGCGGGAGGGAAAAACAGTGAGAAAACGGCAAAAAATCCATTWAAAAAAAAAAAATGAGGATCAATGGTTGAAAAGATACAGCATCCCACTAGGGTTGGTGGTGGGAAGAGGTTCGTAATTCCCATTGGTTTCTCAATTCCTCAGACATTTAAAACAGACAAGGAGCTGATTCCTACAAGATCAGCTTGGAGAAAGTGTAAGTTTCCAGCCCAGAGGTCTCAGGATTATGTTCCCCTCACCCTGTGCTTGTCTTTGGATTGAGGGAAGAATAAGAAGGTCTCATCTCCAGCGTCTTAGAAGCAGAGCAGTGCTGTGAGCGGTTATGCACAAGTGACTGAAATTAAAGATAAGAGGATGTTCACTTGGTGTTATGTAAAAATTATCACCGTTGATGCTGAAAAAGGCATCTTTTAAATTATAATTTTACAACATTGTGGCTCAGTTGCCCTCTTTAGTATCTGCAGCATAGTGTGAGTTACTCAGACGGCTGCTTCAAGCAT